TTCCTGGTGATTTATTTTGGGCTAATCACAGGGTACCAGGGCTCACACACAGTTGGGTGCCACTCATTAGCCAGCAGCCTTCAGATGAAGGCTGGTACTTTGGCACTCTCTGTGACTATGAAGGTGGTCATTTACAGCTGCCTGAGTTTATTCAAAAAAGGCTGCCTTGGGAGCAAAACAAACACAACCAGGAATTTCAGCCCTAAGCACAAGGCTGTGCTTTTTTCATCCTACCAGCTCCCTGGCGAACACAGATACGGTTTGTAAAGCAACCAGAGAAGAGTCTGCGTCTGTTTCCCCGACAAACACAGCAGAGCATCATCTCAGAGCATCATCTTCCAAGAAGAAGAAACAAGGGTGGGTGCCCCTTCAATTCCTTCCCAACATGCAGCAATTCATCAACAGCCACAGCACAGGATAGAGGAGAAGGGCTGAAGAACTCAAATCCTTCCACAGAAGTGGTGGGGAGCAAAACCTGGGTTATTCTGAACTGCCAAAGACCACACTTCAGAATATACTTTAGTCAGGACAAAAGCAAATTAACTTGTGTTCATATTGTGACAACTACTCTAGACCAGGAACCAAAAGCACTTGAACAACAACCAAGATTCCAGCACTGCCTGGAAATGCAGCAACTAACAGCACCCTGGCTGGGTTAAAGCAGGTCAGAGGTTTCTAGTCCACTCTGGGACAGAACACACCTCTATCACAAGGGTTTGATTCAAGAAAACACACAAGTGCCTAGTGCAGAGCATCACTAATCAGGCCTTCTCATGCAAAATGGAGTCTAACATGCCAGCCTCTCCTTTCTGAAAAGGTCCTGAGCCTTTATTTGCCAGGGTAATTTGTTAAGGCTTACAGCAAAGCACCATCTTTAAGACCTCTAGTGAACATAAGACAGGATCCAAACCTGAGTCCTCCACAAGCATCTTCAGATAGGGGGAATTATTCCCCCAGAAGAGCCTGGCAGCTGATATGTCTCTTGAAGCATCATGTCTACACTTGTGTCCCTCCTGAAGCCTTTCCTGAAAGTTTCATTAGCACTGGCACATCCTTCTGGAGTTGTGGTTTTGGCTGATGGGCAGTTTGCTAGAACAAGCCCTGAGGCTACACCCACAGCACTGACAAGGGAAGCCCTTGTGCAGGCAGGACACCAGTCTTCAGGAGCTCTGAGAACCTCCTGGGAGAAGGTCCTGCAGACAGCAAAGCAGTGGAAAAAAATATAAATCCATTGCTTATCTACACAAGCAGGCTATTCCCTGCGCAACCTGCCAGGGAATGGCTGTGTCAGTGCAGATTTGCACCTGGAATGCCTGACTGACAGCTAGCACACCAGGGAAGGGAGAGATGCAATTCAAAAATCAAACATTTTCAGCAAATCCCACACATTCCTTCAATCCATCATGCTGCCAAAGCCAGCTGGCTGCAGCAACACAGACGTAGGCTGTTTGAATACAGTTGGCTTTTCTCCCCCCCTTTAATTTATCCAGGTAATTAACTCTGTTCTGCACTTCGATCCCCATCCCAGCATAGGAGCAAAATGAGCTATGAGAATTCAAGTAGAGTTGGCAGCTTGCTTCTCAAGCAAGGTTTTACACAGCACCTGCAATACCTCACTTCCAGGCCACAGTTCTAACTACTCCCTCAATTAACCACTGGAGGATCTGCTCTCCACACACACCTACTACTCTGTGCTTTGCATCCTGCACAACCATCCTCTGTTGAAATCCTTGGCTTCCAACCACTTCCACACTGTGTCCTACAGAAAGGAGTCTTTCAATGCAGATGTTCAAGCTCAGCTGGAAAAACCTCAGAGCTCCAGAAATATCCACCCTGCTGGGCTGCCACGACCAAGTAAAGATTCTCTACCTCCTCCTCTGATGAGGCTGACTTTCCACTAGCTGACTACAGCTCCTGCACAGAAGGGAAACAAAAATACAAAGACTTCCTTCACCTTGTGCCCAGAGCAGCTGTCAGCTTCTCTCCACAGACCATGCCTGCCCCAGATCCTAGCTGCCACACTTCAAGCCTTCAGGTTTTTTTTTCCACCAGGGATCATATTTCCCACCTGCTTAGTCATCTCTTCTTTTAATCCTTGGGGAAAGGCAATGACCAAGTATGAGATCAGGTTCATCAGCCCCAAAGAAAACCACCCAGCTACCACAGAGGACTACTCAGTGCTGAATTCTCACTCAGCAAATCCTTCTCTGAGCAAACCAAACCCATGCAACCATAGGACAGACATCCACAGAGGATTCTGGACTCAGACCAGGCATTGGCACCAGTCTGCACAGTAGCAGCAGGTCTTCCAACCAGAGAAATCAAAACCCCCCACTTCAAAGTATTTTCCTTCTCTTAGTGAAAGAAGCAGAAGTGTGTGCTAAAATAACAAAGCTTGGTGCCAGAGATAACAGTGCTCAGTTATTCTCATCGTGCAGGCAGCAGAAAAAGTACCTCTCAAATGCTATTTATTCCCAGAAGGAAATGAGGGAGATCTAACAAGTTGGGTACTCAACAGTCAGCAAAGACATGGCCACCAAAGCAGGAGCAGGAGAGAGGAACCCTGCCCCACACGTCTTCTTCAGTTGACTCCTCTCCCTGTCTACAAACACCTGGAGACATCCAAGGGAGGTTTAAAAGCCACTTAGATCTTCAGGCTTTCAGAGTGAAATGCAAAAGCAAGCTTCGAGACAAGGGTCATCACAATAGGCAGCCTCTAGGAGTGGGATAACTTTCAGTGAGGAGCTTTGGCTCATCCATATCAGCTCAACTGTATTCGGTGACTAAATTAGTTCACTGCAACTTCATTAAAAAATTAACCTGAAATGATGAAGATCCACAGGCCTATTTTTCAGGCTGTCACCCCACGCACAGGACTTCCTACTGCTTTGCTTCCTCCCTCCCTCATCTTTCACGGTTCTCTAGACTCATGTAAATTAGCACAATTAATTTGTGGCAGGAACTGCAACGAACACACCAAAAATTAAGACAGATGCCAGAGAGGAATGTGAACAGAGTGAGGAGACAGCTCTGGATTCCAGCCATAGCCTAAAATAGATCCAAGAACAGAAGGAGACAGCAGTGGATTCCATGACATGAGCACATCCTTCCAGCCAGCAGCAGTGATGTCCACACAAGGAGTGTGGGCTCCAAGGAAGAGCTGGACCAACTGCAGAAGATCTGACAGAGAGGAGCAGGGATAGTTAAGGGTCCTGAACACACTGTGGGGAAACACTGACCTACATCAAGATGGAAAAGAAGAAGGTGAGATAACTAATGTGTACAAAATATCTGCTGCAGGACTGTTCTCTTGGTCCAGTCAGGACAAGAAGCAGGACACATGCTTAGGGACATGATAAGGGAAGAGACACCAAGGAAAGCAGCAGCCTGTGCACACATGCATGGACATCCACAGAAAGGAGTTGATGTGAAGGAGAGGGGAACACTGGAATCAGCTGCCATGGAGGATTTATTCCATCCCTGCTCTCTTCACCACCAGCAAATGGCTAAAAATAGGTGAGACAGCTGCCTGTGAGGACTAGTGTGGAGGCACCCAGCCCTGCCTTGGCAGCAGA